GCAGAAGAAAATGTTACCTTGCCTGCCAACTGGGGCAATAAAATAAATTTGTTTTGTATGCTGTGTGGAATTTTTTAATGCCACTAAATGAAAACAAAAGAATCAGGATCTCTCCTTGGGAGTTCACAGACAGAACGGGTACAGATACAGCAAAAGTAACAGATTGAGAGAACTGAGAAAAAGAACTCACCCTGAGCTCCTCTTCTCCCACTCCTCCTCCTCAGCATCATTCAGCTTCCTGTTTTTAAAGCAAAATGGGATTGTTCTCATGACTAACCAGCACAATCCTTCCAAAACTGTTAAATAACAGCAATTTTGGCAGAAGTTACTACATATCTAGATTATGTAAGCAAAATACAGATATTCCATGAGGTACAGTAGTTGCATTTCCATACACCAATTCAGCCTTTAACTGACACTTTGTTCTGGATCTGCAAATAGCAACTGTACATCAGTTTAGCTACAGTGCAGCAGGACTGTAAATGCAGATTGCTGAAACAGGCATAAACCTCAGCAGTTTCTAGAGAGTCAAAATGAAAAAAACACTTGCAAACCCAAAGGGGCTTTGGATTTCCATCAACCAGCTTACATTTCATGCATCATTGGCACAACTGCAATCGCATTTCAAGAGAGTTCAAGTGAATGCCATTTTGTCTCACTGACACCATCTTAAAACTTGAACACAAGGGATAAGCTTGTGTCTTGGACTGTGAAAAACTATAAATATCATTTGTAAGAAGAAATAATCCTGGAAAAACTGTTTATCTTAGTCTTTGATGACAATATGACATTTATTACTTCAATGAAAATGGCACTGCAACATGGGAATCTCCTGCTTTAGGACAGCTTAGAGGAAAAGGAATGCAGGGAGTGATAAGCAACAGGGGGTTCATAAAGGAATGTACCACTCAAGCAAAATCAAGATTTGTCTTTAATACAGTCACACATTGTAACTCGATTCTCAACCCCTCTGTGGCCCCTTGCAAGGAAAAGACAAGTGCAGTGCACTGCCAACTTTACACCTTCTCTGGACTTTACAGAGGGTTTGCTGAAGGTGCAGGAGAGTGGAATTGGCAAGATACCACACATCATCCACTCTTCTGCTGATAGTGTTGACTTACAGCAGTTTTGATGTTCTCCACACCAACTTCCCAAACTGCTTTGTTATAAACTGACTCAAAACCACAGCAGAAGGAAACTGCTTTTCTCCCCTCTCATCTCAGCTGCAGCAAGGATTGAGCTCTTGAGGAATATAAGACATTGGCACATCTGCAAAGGTTTACATAGTATCATAGAGATTTGAAGAAGCAGAAAAAAATGTTTCACATATGGATTAATAGTTCTCCATCATCACAGTAAAATATTGATGGTGGGACTGTAGACACTTAGCAGATAAAGTGGTGGGTTTTTTTCAAAGTGATGACATTGCAGACCACAATAAAAATACACAAGGAGAAACATAGCAGACAACAGAAATGTGAAGCAAATAGATGTAGAAAAGGTACAATTGAGGAGATTTCAACTGTAACAGACAGGTACAAAGTAATAGGCATAAAGAAAGCAATCAGTGGAAAGAATAGGTTGTGTCCCTGCCAAAAACAGAAACACACAAAAAAAAGATGTTTAAATAGTACCTGTTCTGACCGAAATAGGAGCTGGTAACATAGATTGATAACCATGTAGGGAACATTTTAGAAGATGTATTACTAGAGCTGATCCCCTTATTGCAGTCTTTTCAACTAGATACCTCTCCATGCTCCTTATTCCTTTAGTCTAGTAAGGTGCAATGCAGGTTACTAACTTTGGCACTGTGATATTCCTTTGATTGCCATCCTTGCTCCATAACTAATGGAGTGTAAAATAAAACCTTTCATTCACAAGCACATTTTCTCAGTTCATCTGCAGCTGCAGTGAAACTCACAAGCCTATCCATACACAGCCACATACTTCTTTTTTACTAAGTACAGTCTTCCCAAGGTGTTGCCTTTCTTACAAAGCTGCATGCAGTCAGAGTAGCTTTGCCTGAACTCTTTAGATCCCTTCAGAGTACAAGCCTGCTTTCTTTTTTTAGGTCATATTCTAACAGAAACTGACAGGAATTTGGCCTCAATAGCTTCCACAGGATCAAGGTCTGGTTCAGTAAAGGATTAAGGCTATTGTTGCTGAGCACACACTGCCAGTAAGAGACCTTTCCTTTTCCCTAACCTCTATTCTTTGACTCAGCCTCACACAGAACTATCTAAATAGAACACAGGTTACCGCATAAATGCTTGTCCTTGGATGCAAACATGTCACATTTGTTAAAACCAGTGCAAATTTTGGGTAAGCTTTTTTGAACTTCTAGAAAATAAGAAGTAATTTAACAAAATGCATTTCTATGTAGGTACACAGTTTGTGCTAATTGGGAGTGGGGCTGCAGCCGAGCCTGATCCTCAATGGGCTACAAGTGCAAAAAGCAGGGGAACAGTATTGAAGGTAATGAGCCATGGAGTGGTGAGGTGTGCTGGCCAGTCACCAAAGGGAACAGAAAGCACACAGGTGCAATGCATGAACAATGAGGGGTATAAAAGGCTGGGCTAAAGAACAAGGAGGGCAGACACTTGCAGCCTTCTGAGGTGATGCAGTGTTATGTTGTATGGGTAGACACTTGAAGCTGTCTGATGTGGTATGGTGCTAGTCTATATGGGTGAATGTTAAAATCTTCTGCAATTGTATGGTGATACTATGTACTGTGGCTGTCTCAACTGCAACGTTTCTTTTGGTATTCCTGGTTATACCTATAATTTAGTATTTTTAGTATTTTGTTATCTATGTTTTCTGATGCTTGTGATTGGCACAGGTTTAAAAATCAAAAAGAGCAACCAAACAGTGGCTTTAGTTTTAACAAGCCCTTGGGTAGACAGTTTGCATCTTGGAGCATTTAGTTTTCCATTTAGGTGCAATGAGTACGTGGACACGCAGTCCCTCTCCCCATCTAAATACCATTCCAGCTTAAATGATGAGTGGATTGTTTCCCATTCTGCTTTATGAAAATATTAATACAGCAGGCTTCTCAATTGACAACAGCAGGTGGTATAGGTCTCCTCCCTGCACCTCATCTACAGGGGCAGCTCAGTTTTGGAATAGTCTGACCTCTTGCAGTTACATCTGGCTCTTGCTGTGGTCCATCTCCACCTATGGGTGACTGCCAAAGCAGCCAAATGTCTGCAGCAGCCCAAGCATCATGGCTGGGCAATGCACAGAAGCATGAGACACATGCTTGACTGTCAAGCCACCTAAATTTTCAGGCAAAAAATGAGCTGCAGTTTCCCTGAGCTGCAGAATATGCTTGTGGAAAGGCCAGCAACTGTTCATACCTCCTGCTGAATCCACTGTCTGGCCTCAGCGGTGTGAACAAGGGCTGTGCAAGTTCATATCCCCCAGCACTGCCACCAGGGACTTGAACAATGAATCCCAAAGGAAGCGTGCCTGCCTACTTTTCTGGTCAGAAAGCTCCAGAATACACACACTGAGGCTCCCACCACTTCCAGACCTTTCATCTCTGGTGTATTTGGTTTGTGTGGCAAGGTTTTGGTAGTGGCAGGGTCTTGGGGAGGGGGCTACAGTGAGGAAACCCCCAGAAGGATGCCCTGTGTCTGACAGAGCCAGTGCCAGACAGCTCCAAGATGGACCCACTGCTGGCCAAGGCTCAGCCTATCAGTGACAGGGGTAGTGCCTGTGGGATAACAGATTACAAAAGGGGAAAAAGTCTGCACAACAACATCTTCAGTTGAAGAGTGGAATGGGAGTGAGAGCAACAACTCTGCAGATCCCAAGACCAATGAAGAAGGTGGAGGAGGTGCTGCAGGCACTGGAGCAGAGATCCCCCCGCAGCCCCTGGCGCAGACCATGGTGAGGCAGCTGTGCCCCTGCAGCCAGGGAGGTCCATGGGGAGCAGAGATCCACCACAGCCCGTGGAGGACCCCAGGGCAGAGCAGGTGGGTGCCCAAAGGAGGCTGTGACCCTGTGGGAAGCCTGTGCTGGAGCAGGCTCCTGTGAGGATCTGTGGATCCATGGGGAGAGGAGCCCACAACAGAGCAGGTTGGCTGGCAGGACTTATGACCCTGAGGGGGCACCCTCTGGAGCAGGCTGTTCCTGGAAGATTGCATCCCAAAAATCATGAGTGGGAAGGCAAAAATCAGCCTGAAAAGCAAGGAAGGCAAGGACAGTGTTTTTAGATTTAGGTTTATTTCTTAAGATCCTACTCTGATTTGACTGGTATTAAATTCATTTCCCCACGTCAAGATTCTTTTGCCCATGACGGCAATTCGTGAGTGATCTCGTCCTGTCCTGATCTCGACCCACGAGCCTCTCGTTGTATTGTCCCTCCCCTGCCAAGCTGCGGAGGGCAGTGCCAGGGCGGCTTTAGAGGGCACCTGGAGTCCAGCCACGGTCAGTCCTAGGCAGGGGGTCCGGGAAATGGACCCCATGTGTGGAGGCGGGGCCTTCCCGGGCGCCTAGCAGCTTCCCCCGCAGGGCACCCGCCGGGGCCGCAGCTGCCGGGCCCTTCCACTTCCCCTCAGCCCGGGTGCGGCCCGAGCCGCGCGGGGCCGCCATGACAGCGCCATGGCAGCGCCGCGGGGCCGGGCCGAAGAGTCCCCGCGGCATCACGCGCGCGGCCCCGCCCCTGGCCCCG